TTCCTACATGCTTCTAACCAAAAAGTTGCGTTACATAGTATGGAAGTATCCAGTAGAAGTTGGTCCAATACAAATTAGAATTCAGGTTCACTGCGTTCTCGATATGGAATATTGACATGCCGGAACGATGACTTGTTGTACTTGTTGCAAGCTGGGCATGAAAATTTTCTTCGGTTATTCAGGCTCTTGTCTGAGGAAAGCACAACAAACTTCAATTGCAGACAAAATTCAGCTACCATGTGTTAAAACTTCTGTTGCCGTTTTTGTTTCGCGGGAGTACGAGAATGACAAGTAACATTCGCAGGAAATTGTCTTTTTTTGTGATGATAATGACGCGATTTTAAAAATCACTAATGTGTGATGCGAATGCGGTTTTCATTCACGAGATTTGATATCTCCAGAGGTATACGGCTTATAATAGGGAAAGCGTACAAGATGTTGCAGAAAATTTGGGTGTTTCCCCTACTCATTCTACACAAGGGGAAATCCGATCGCTGTATCAATTAACGACATATTTTCAAACTTCAGAACTTCATCGTGTTTCATAAAAAATAGAATCAAGCTATTTCGTGCTTTTTGAGTTTCATTTGACTGACTTCTGCAGTAAATAACTTATTTGAAGATGTACTGTAAAGACTATTGATTGAGCCAGAAAGTTAGCATTTTTGCCATCTCTGGAATCCATTTCAGGGCTGTGTTCTCATAAGCAGTTCATAAATGCAGAGAGAAGTACTGGAACCATGGGAAGACCACAGACTTTAAGCTGAATCTGAGTTTAAAAAAATTCAGATCTTCTGCTTCCATTCCGCTGACTTGACACTACTAGCATATCCAGGTGATGTATTTTTCTATCGGATTCTGATGTTGAATACTTTATTCCTCCTTATTTTTGCTGACAATGTATGCTTTTATCTACTCAGATGAAAAGCTGGGAATAGGGGCTGCCCGGAGAACAAGAAACGATTGCGAAAGATCGGAACGGATTCTTGGCGTTTATCTCCTCAATTGCCAATGCGTCATACTTTCGAAATGTGGTGCTTGGGAGGGCTTTCCTCCTATGTTCTCTATTTCGAGATGCAAGAGACAGAAGAAAACGAGGATGCTAATGACGAAACCCTTTAAATTTCAATAATTATAAGGACGAAAAAGAAAGAATAGTCTCTTACATCAGGTGAGGTTGCGGGTGGAAGGGGTCGAGGGCAATAGAAAAGAAAAAGCAAGAAAGAATGAAGGGGTAATTAAAGTGCAATCACAATCCAATGGAGACAAATGGCTTCCGTCGTGAATACTTTTTCGCACTCCTCCGTCATGCCTTGACACTTCACACAGCGGTGGGTCCATATATACCATTGTTTTACATCGTCGTGTTTTATACTTCACTGTCTCACGTGTGCTGCACGACGTCGCATACGTGCGGAATGTGCAAGGAGCTGCGCTTTAAAATTTTGAACTTCGAATAAATTCCGAAATACAGTTCTGCAATTAGATGTGCTGCGAAGGCACAATCCAGGTAAGTAAGACATGCAAGCAAACGAGGAAGAAAGATATTTCACGTACGCAAATCCATGCCATTATTGAAATGCGTGACTCAGTCAAACGAAAATAATTCTCAACTTGTCTCTCCTCATGCCCCCTCCCCCATTTTTTGTCAATAGCATCTGATCACACCAGGAAAGGAAGAAAAGCAAAACCGAATATGCTTTAGTTTAGTTTTGGACCTAAGAAACAACTTGCATCGATTCATTTGCTTGATCAATTCTACATCAATTATATATCATTCTGTTCTAAACTTCGCTTTTTACTGACTTGCTCTTTGCATATCTCGTTGACATTAACCTACAGAAGTGTTCTTCATCTGCTTAATAGGCTAGCTGCCCTGTTATTAGATATAATTCGAAAAGTCATTTTGAAAGAGAGACATTTCGGGAAACGTTAAGGGAAAACTGAGCCATTACAGTCTTTACACACAGTTTTACACATGAATTTCGTGAGAAAGCCAAACTCAGTTCACTGCAGGAGATAAATCAGCTACACTACTCTGAATAAATTCCTAGAAGTATAGGAGATTTGAAAGAAAGAATGGAAACTAAAAAGAGAAGCTCCTCAGGATGGGAAAAAAAGGACATTGTAGTTCTCAGTGTGGCCACTAGTTGGCAGCATAGGACGATCAAAGGAATCCATAGAATTTCTAGCAATTTTTCATGCGCTCTCTCCCCCCCCCCCTTTTGCTGTTAGCGTTCGCCGGTCTCGGAGAGAGATCCCGAACCCCACTGGAGAAGGGAAGGGACGAGGGCCATCTCCTCGCCCCTCCCTCGCATCTGGTCCTGTCAAACAGAATCCCCTGCTTTTGGCGCTACTGATTTATTATGTAGGGAACTTGGGCCCCGTTTCCATGGAAACAACAGCATGGCCACCGAAGGGGCTCGGGCTCAGCGGTCGAAACCGGCGAAGGCATTCCGAGCAACGATATGAAACGAACAGGCATGAAAGTCATGAGGCAAGAAAGTGAAGGAAACGGGAAAGAGCATAGATTCAATATGAGGAAGAATGTCGGGAACGTGGAGAATGACGGCGTGGAGTGAAGTACGGCCAGGCATAGCCATAATAGACGCCTAACTACCCTTGCAATAGCCTCTTCTCTTCCTGATAGTGGCAATTCCTGGCCACATTTGAAGGCCTTTTATTGCTCGCTCCCAATGAGAATCCCCTCTTCCGACTGGGATTTTAACCATCTGCTTCATTGCCTCACAAATCAACCACTACCAACTACACCTTCTTTTCTCCCTGCCGCCATCATCAGCACGAAAATCATCTCAATTGTAAACACAAGGCAAACATGAAAAGAAGATGATAAAATAATGCCTATAGCAACTCAAACAGGTATTACTATTTTTTAACACTCATTGAAACAATTATGTCAACCATTCAACTTTACTCGGGGAGCTCAATGCTAAATTTTAAACAGATAAAAGGAAGCAAAACAGTCGACTCATCGGGAAAACATTCTCTAAACTTCCTAAGGGAAGTCATGAAGGACGGAACATGCATACAGATGTTGCTGTTGAAGGGAAGGATTGAAACAGGAAGCTTACCTTCAACGCCAGTCGGCGACGAGTGAATGTAGACGGCGATGCATCTGGCACCCTGTCAACACTTCCCCCAAGGGGCAAAGATCACTTCACACTGCACTTTTTCTTTCGTTTTCTCCTCGTCTTTCCTCGCGAAGAATTTACGAGACCTTTCACAGAGCACAAGGCGCCGTGACTGTACATCACTTTCATATCCACGCATGGAACAGACGCAGACGAATATAAAATAACTTCCATTTTTAGATTTACGTCACTCGTGGAACCTGAAATAGATAGATATCAAATGACTTATTATTGAATGAAGAGAATGGAGAGGAGATCGAGCAACACTGTGATAGTTGTGGAAGTATAAGCTAGATGGCAGAGGCGTCTCTTGGTCAGTTGATGGACCGCGCCTGCGGTCTATGACTCCACATCAAACGACGAAACTCCCGGGTTATTAATGGCTTGGCCTTCGGGGTTGAGGGGATAAAAAAAGGAAAAGAAAGAAAGAAGCCGCGATGTCATTGCAGACTCAGAGAACCGCGTCCCACCAAGAAAGGAATGGAATCCAGAATATGCAGGGAGTCTTCTTTCAGCCACACCCTTATAAATCTGTGAGCGAATTCCTGATATTCGATTCCCAGACACACTCCATCCTTACAACCTTACAGGATGAATTAGAAGGAAGAAGGACTGAGCGGATTTTATGTTATTAGTCAATGTTCAAGGACAGCGACTTCCCTTGCCACTTTTCATAATTACAAGAAACATTTTATGCGCGACGGCAAAATGACGGGACAGTGTCCGTCAATTTAAAATTAAGAGACATTATATTTTCTCCATCAGTGAGGCGTCGTTCTCCTAGTTAATAACTATTACTTTTTGTGCTTGATAGCCACAGAGCATAAACAAAGCTCTGGTCAACAAAAAAAGATGAATTCGAGGCAATCTTAAGTCGCTCGAAAAATCCAATCTAGTTTTGATCATGCTGACATGTAGGGATAACATAACGTTCGCATAAAGAGAAATGAGCAAAAAACAGAGTAAGGGGATACAATGTCACAAATTTTCCAAATGATGAAAGTGCGTTTCGATAAACAGCAAATTTCGTACACTCGAACCTTTAACAAACAGGAAATCCAATTTAACGCGTTGCAATTATATATAGTTCACGAAATCTTCAATTTAAATATTTCGGAAAATTATAGTAAACGAAAATCAGAGAAAAGCTGCTTACATGTTTTGAAGCTGTCTGAATCCCAAATACAACTTAAAGGAGGAACATTGAATGACAGACAAATGAGACTTCGAGAGACTCTTTTTGAAAGCATCGTAAAGCACGTAAGAAAGAGGCGATGGCTGAGCTCGAAAAAGTCAAATGTTGACTACCAACAGCATTTTTCCACGTTAAAAATCTTTTGAGAAATACTCATCAATATCCCAAATTGTACTACATTCAGTCTGATTTTAGTGAGACACAAGAGGAATTGGCTCACGACGAAGTTATTTTTTTTTTTTACATCACGCTCCCCGCGATGAATCGAAGACGTCGCATTTTAGATTGACCACGAATTCGAGAGGACACTGCACACAGACACGTCACCGTTCTGTCGTTTGGTCAACGGACCGAGGGTGGGGGAGAGCAAAGAACGAACAAAGGAAAAGAAAAAAAGGCGAAGGAAGGAGGCCTGAGAGACAGTTTTAGAGCACAATCGACGTCTTTGTTCCTTCACGGGGACAGTAATCCAGTATTTTACAGCTCAATTTTCTCTGCAAGATTCCCTTCTTTCGAAGACAACGGACAGAGACCCGTTGCTCTTGCATGTATCAGTCTTCCTCCAACTGCATTCCCATCTGTGTCTTTGGTGTGACTTTTTTTTCTTCTGCACCGATTTGTGTGTGTTTCAGAGAGACAGTGCGGATCCCGAGTGAGAGTGAGGCCATACAACAAAACTGTATTGATAAACGGGACATCCATGTAATATCTATGTACATATCCATATGACATAACCGTTCCCTATAGCACACGCAGCACACTTGCTATCCAGATAGAGACAGACACAAAGATTGAAATCAGAGACTTTTTTTGCTTTTTCGAGATCCAATTCGACGCACCTCGAGTCACCGGCTAAAACTATAGGAACGAAACGAGGAGGGTCAAGGTCAAGGTCATCGGGTTCTTGGTGTATCTTACAATCCAGTTTCACCGGGAAAAATTCACCGTTTCACATCAATTTCGGACCGCGAACTCCAATAATTATTTCAAATGGGAGAAGCACTTCACTGGGTCATTCAAACGTCCAGCTCGGAAAAAAACTGCACGCATTCGTAGTCGATCTTTGGTCAAATATCAGCAATATAAAAAAAAGAAAACACAACAACCTGTACAGCAGAAAAATGGCTCACCAAAAGAATTGAAAGTGAACGGCAAATTCGGTTTCCATTCGTGGGCTGGTAATGAGGAAAAGAAATGTGTACACCGGACGAGTAAAAAAAAAAAAAGCAAAGAAAAATATCATGTGGTCAGTGAAAGGAACTTTTTACTGTTGCGTGTGTGAAAGTCAAAGATATTATGCCCATCTGCTAGTCGTGTCTCGTGAAATTGAGCAAGGAAAAAAAAAAAACACTAGAGAAGGGGGAATGGATACAAACGCATGGATCTCTCGCCGTGAGTCGTGGAGGAATCGCGCTCGGAATTAAGCGAAAAGAAGAACTTCTTGCCCTCCTCTTCCAAGTATTCTTCACAACAGGCCACGCATAAATAACAGGAAATGAAGAGAGGTGCAATTTACATGCACGACTTGCGGGGATCGGTACAGCTATAGAAAAATCCCACCTATGAATTATACGTATAAGTTTTGTTTGCTCACTTAGGGAGTCCTCCATCCTGTGCCCGAAACTGATTTCCCTCCAAGTCGTGAAAATGGGGTTGACTGAAGAAAGATGAAGGCAGCAAGAGGAGGAGCAGCAGCAGGAACGATGTTTTCGCTCATTTCCTTTTTTATTTATTTCCTCCCTCTTTCGCCTGCCATAATAATGCCGTGATGATAATGCGATAGATGACGATAACTTATGTAAGTTTTGTCCACTATATTCAGACATTTATTCTGATGGACCCGTTGCCGTCTCTGGCCCTCCCTCCTCTCCATCCAAGTACTCCGAAACTCATACATTTTGTACCTGAAGATAATATTGCAACGCGGTTCCCACTGATTGTCTATGCCAGTGACTGGGAAATTAATGAAGACGGTGAAGAGAGGAGATGGGAGAAAATAATGATCACACGGGACCAAACAGTCTAATGAAGGATCTCTACTCAAGATCGCACGTCAGATTAAAGAGTGGTACGCAGTAGGTACCGAAGGGCATTAAGAAAAGGGTGAAGATTGACCTAGACTATAGGCCGAGAGGCGGAACGAGGGGGGACCAGTGACGTCATCCAGATCACCTTACAAGTTTTTTCCCTTATGACATCATCACAATGATAGGCAATTCTAGGGATTATAATTATGTACAATCTTCGCCACTAAAGCACTCTCAAACATCGCCGCCGAGATTCCCCCTCTGAATAAGTGCAAGAAAGGTATTTCTCCTACACTACAAATACAGACCCGTCTTGAATTTGAGATTTTTTTTCCTTTCAAGGATAGAAAAGGGGACCGGAGCCAGGTGACGTCATCATTCACGCACTCGTACAAAGGAGCGAAATAGGTTGAAAAATAAAAAGAGCAGAGCGAACGTTATCACTTGACTTGGACAGGAACTGGTATCCTTGGATATCAGGAGTCGTTGCAACTGAGACCGTGCTGATATCAAATATTATATAAACCTAACTTCTTTATCTTTCTTTAAATCTGGCTCATCTCATTCCAAAAATTCCCAGGAGATCATGACCTGCTTGGACTGGCGTAGGAACAATGACGTCACTGTGGCGTTGTAGGTGTTGTCGAGGACTCGGAATTACTCAAATCCCCCGAGGACTGATTGTTGGCCGTCGTGGTAGTGGAGGAGTTATTCTGGCCGTTACTTGTCGTGGAGTTGGCCGTGGTGCTGGTGGTCTCCAACTTGGCCTTGTTCTCTTTCTTCCACTTCATCCGCCGGTTCTGGAACCAGATCTTGATCTGGCGCTCCGTGAGACACAGGGCGTGGGCGATCTCGATCCGCCTCCTCCGTGTCAGGTACCGATTGAAATGGAATTCTTTCTCTAGCTCCAGGGTCTGGTACCGAGTGTACGTCTGCCTCCCTCGCTTCCTCTCTGCGGACACAAAACAAACCCCGCACCGTCCGTGCATATTAAACCACGTCGAACCCGAGATTCCCTACGACAATTTAAGTGGATCTTAGCGAGAAATTCGCTCTGTGTATCAGTTCGGTTTCATCTAAACTATCGTTCTCGGTGAAAGTTGTACAAGGGAGAAGAGAAAGAAGATCAGACTTCGAACTAAAGACTTCTAAAATAGGGTGCCTTAATGATCCAAGTTGGCTGGTTGATAACGTTCCTTCCGGCAAGTTCCCTCAAGCCATCCGTATCCCGACTTACTGTGACTGGTTAGAATCACAAATGCAATTATAGTGCTACGCCCTCGGCGACTTGCATAGCGTACGTACTTATTAACTCCGCAGCGACAATGGATATCGATAGTAGCTTAAGTCCCTTGTCTAAGCAGGCAGAGACGTTCCTTAACCACAGGGCAGGAGGTCCTGCCCTGTCATAGTCCATCTCCTGGGCGCAAGATGGCAGGGGATTCTTCGCAGCAGTGGATTATACTGTGATATAATTTTAGTTCCTTATCCTCATACCCAATGTTGCTATTTATATCTTATGTATAACATAATACGTCATATCTGAATTTCAAGAATGCAACGTTTTCATGAAGGACTTCGTGAATAATGCATATTAAAATTTCATTAGTGCAAAGGTCTCAAAATCAGGAAAATTGAGATTCTCATTCCACCAGACTCGCAGTGCCGCTTTTTCTTTTCAGTTGTCTAAATGAAGAGTAGCTGAAAACGAGACTCTTAAGAGTCAGAATTTCAGAGTATTCTAAAGGTTCTCACCCCTCTCGTCGAAAGAGTCGCATGAACTCCTTGTCATGTTACTCACCTCAAACGGTCAGAGAGCTATGCATGCCTTTGTCTTCTGCCAATCCGCCTGCTCCGTCAGCGGATTCTAATTCATCGCTCTGTCTTTCGCTCGATAGTGCCTGCCCACGCCCACAAGTCGAAGTAATTCGATTTTGAGAGGTTCTTTTGGCCTCTGATGATACGATAAGATCATTCCAATAGAAGCCTTCAAGTCAATTCTGGACGTACTTGACACCTGCATATTATAGACTTAGGGAACTTAGCGTTGCTAATTTTGCAACGGGGCAATCTTTTGATCCCATACGAAAAGTGATTGCAGCAAAAATATAATAAATTGCAACAAATAATAATGTCAAATCAATTATAGCAAAAGTTACTATTTATCATTATTAGACAGTATTATTGATGCAATCATAAATTTAATTTTCACAATATCTTAAAATACCTACAATATGCAGGTAAATATATGATAGTTCTCAATTATAATTCAACTGCGAAGAAATCAAATTAGATTACTTTTTGTTGATGGTCTCTTTTGCTTTGAGTCGATTTTATGTTTGTGACTTTCTTCGCGGAGGCCACTCTTTCATTCTTCGCTTAAAATTAAGGATTAAAACGAACAGAGGCATGAAACAAAATTATTTACACTGACCGAATTAAAAAAAATTAAACATGGGAACCACGAAATTGGGGTTTTGATCTCACAAATTTTGGAATCTTTGTATCTTGCCGCGCCCGAGTAGAATTCTTTTGCGAGCTGATGTTAGAGCATTCCTGGATCATCAACTACAGTCATGGCTGAGTGGAATTTTAAAGTCTTTAATTAGTTTGGGGCATTAACGGAGTCGTAGTTTTGAGTCTGCTTTTAAACCTGTGCCTTTGAACGACCACGTGAAGTTCGAATCCATGCTCTCGTTGCCTGACCTCATAACGGTCTCTATATCGCCCAACTATGGTCTCAAAAATTCCTCAATACTTCACGCAGTGCTTGCCTGGTCACACATCAGGCTTGACAGAGAAACAGAACTCAGTGAAAATAAAACGCCACAGAAATAAACTATGAGATTTGTTCATCGACTGACCAAACCATCTAGGGGGAATGCACGAAACGAATTGCGATAGATACTGCATCTCCAGTGCACCAAGCACCACACTCGTCACGTCTAACCAATACTCTCTTTTCAATCGAAGAAAAAAATATGCATTACTCAATTTTTAGTGCCTCGTCTCATTCATAAATGAAGCAAACGAAGCACACTGCAAAACCTTGCGGTGATTCTTGAGCATGATGCTCATGATTCAAACGAGCACCTATGCATGTTTCACTTATTGCAAATCGATAACCGATAGGAGGCGACGACTCGTAGCACCCTCGTGCCAAGAAGGGAAGAGATTATAGGCCCATGAAGAGGGAGAATGGGAATGGATTCGTGGGAGGGTGGAATGGAGATGGGTCCGATATGGGGGCATTCGGCACAGTGACCAGAGAGAGAAAGAGAGAGAGAGGGAAGCCTTGTGCCAAGGGTTGGAGATGGAAGAGATCAAATAATCCCGGCACGGCATAAATCACTAACCTGCCTATATAAAGCCCCGTCTCGTAAATTCTCTCACAGAGGAGGAGGTCTGGCAGGAATTAATGAATGCCGCTTCTTCCTCTTAATACATGAAGGTCTGTATGCCTTGCATTAGGACTTTCGTGACATGTCCGCGTCGTTCATGGACTCACTTTTTCCTGTCTCTTGCATCCCCAGGCAGTGTCTTTCATTTCCGCCACTATTTTATAGTTAAGAAGCTCGCATAGCATGCTGGTTATCCAAGGACTGTTTCCCTACTATCAGAATATACCAAGGATTGAGAGCTTCAGAGAGATAAACTTAGAATTCTAAGAAAAAGTTACTCTTTTTAGTCACAAATGTTCATACTCCTGTAGCCCGTCAGATTCGGTAGCACCCTTGCTGCGTATTTAAATTTTCAATTCGTTTCAAGTGATTCCCATTCAATGAACCTAGCCCATAACCAGGTCGTGAATCGTCTGAATAAAATCGGCAAAAAAGGAGCGGAGAAAAATGAAGGAATGAGCTTCCCTGAGGGATGCAATTAGGAGAGAAAGGCAAAGGCAAAAGCGAGGGAGAGCTGACATGCAGTGCATGACGCAGATGTTGTATTTTTGTGGGGCTGAAAGGAAAGAAGAGCCAAGCCTTATTATTCACCCCCTCTGGGACATTAATCAAAGGGAGCCGAAATCCGGGCGATTGGTTACCACGGGATGTGACGTCATCCCTTGGACCCACCAATCACGTCCAAGGACCCGAGAAATGTCTCAATATCCTCCGCAGTCGCTTTCTCCGTGCCCGCCGGTCAATGCGTCGTAGGTTCCCTTACATAACCGCACTATGGCATTGGCATCAGGCTACTTCTACAGGCTTGCTCGTCATCATCATCATCATCATAATCAACAGTGGCAGAATAGTCATAGCGCGAAAAATTATCGATGGAAAAATAAATACAGTCCAAGCTGTATAGCTAGATGATAATTGATGTGAAAAATGGCAGCCAGAAGAAACGACGAACCTCAATCTGTTAATTATATTTTTGTAAATACATCAACTCGTAGTAATTTCACCATTCAACAAGAAAAGCACTAAAAGTTTATGTGTATTCTCAATGTATTCCTTCAACTCTCAATGTATTCCTTGAAGAAATGTGATGAAAAAAATCTGAACGATACTACGAGGACACAATAATACATCAGCTCATCAACATTTCATCTAAGCTGATCATGAGCCAGAAATATTTCCGACCTCCCTAACATGTAACTATTCAATTTATTTTCTCATGATTCTGAAAAAAAGCCGACGTTAAAGGACGTAGCAGCAATTCAGTGCCAAATTCAGTGCAGACAGTGCCAAATACTGCTTCCTTTGGATTTTTGTGCAATCTTCATTCAAGAAAATCAAAACTGTAAATGCATTCCCGGATTTTGGAGGGACTAAGTAAGCTAAACCACAGCTCCATATGTTATAAACCCAGAATAGTTGTATGAATTTCAAAGAGCGTTTCGAATATCGAGGATGAATCTAGTTGAAGAATACAATATTTATCCATCCTATGATCTACATCGATTGGTGGGAAGAGTACCTTCCCTCTTCACGTACCATGAATACACGAAATTTATGGAGACCAGATTCTATTTTCACCCTTTGGAAACTTAAGCCATAGAGGTGCCGGCGGGTACTGTAATGAAGTATCCAGTTTCCAGTAATGTCAAATCTCGTAATGGTGAATTCGACAAATTCGCATATTGACAAAAAGTTGAGTTGAAACTGCTAAGGAGTTATCCCGTAGAATGAGTCTGAACACATGGCATCTCAACGAATGAATGATGGGAAATTTTGGAGAGAAAAAAAAGGGGGAAAGTCACTTGATCGCATGCGCAAGGCCATAAACGTGGCAATGAAGCATCAAATGGGGTACTCATTGGAGTAATCGCGTACTATACGAGACCTCTTTTTTTCTCTCTCTCCAGGCTTTTTTTCCCTCATTCCTGGCCCATTCATGGCAAGAGGGTACAAAAAAAAGGGTTATCCATGGGAGTCTACAGCCACGAATCGGCGATTTCAGTCCATCATTGAGAGGGTCATAAAACGCCTCTTAAGAGGCTATCACAAGAAACGGATTGAATTTATGATGGGGATATTTCAAGCCCACCCCGTAAAACATGTTCATTATGATGTGCCTGACCTGTTTGTCTTCCCTCTTTTCCCCTATTTTGCCACCTTCCTATGTCCTATTACTCCCTTTACTTTTACAGCTGACATAAATCTTGAATTAAAGTCTTGTTCATTTATCCGCTCCCGTAATAATGATCGCAACTGCTTTAAAGACCCAACATGAGACTGAATCTCCTGGTTGTATTTGGGAGCCGTCAGGAGCACGTCGATCGAAAAAATGTTGGATACCTTAGAGAGAAAGCGAAGAAGAAAAATGTCACCAGTCTAGCATGAATCGTAGGGAAGCATGCATCTTCCCCTAGGGATGCAGCCTCATGTGAAAGTGCGTCTGCATAATAGACGATATGCAGACGATAGGAGAACCCCCTCTCTTGTCCTTTCTGGATCATTGGGCTTCTCAAATGAGGGATGAAGATCCACGTTTAGAGAACAGCACAAG